TGGGGGCTGGGAAAAGGGAATTTTTCCCCTTTAATAACTTGGGGAAAAGGAATTTTTTCTACACAATTTGGGGACTGGAAGAAGGAGAATTTTCTGATTTGGTAATTTTGGGAAAAGGAATTTTTTCCACAGGATTTGGGAGCTGGGAGAAGGAGAATGAGTGGGATCACGGATGGTGGAAGACCCAAAAATGGGACAAAAACCCCATTTTTTCAGTTGCTTTTTCATCCTGTGGCTCCAAATCTTTGGATTTGAGCCGTTTTCCCTGGATTTTTTTTTTTTCTCTTCTGGCTCTGGAGTGCAATGTCTAAGATTTTATCCAGAATTAAATAATTGGGCAGAGGAAATGGGGCTGCAGCCAATGGAATCCTGAGTCTCGCCAGTTGAAAATCAACATTTTGGCCTCATTTTTGTGTCTGGAGCTTTATGGGAAAAAATTAAATCATCCACCCCATAAGGAAGCAATAAATCCCAAAAAATAAATCTTTCAAACATAAGGGGGGGTCTTTATTGCAGCTTTTTTTTTTCTCATAAAGAAATCCTGAAATCTTCATTTTTTTGGGGAAAAAACACCTAGAAAAAAATCCTAAAATCCTCTTTTTTTGGGGGGGGGAAAAACCACCTGGAAAAGTGTGGCCAGAGCAGGCTTGGAGAGAGAACCGAGCTGGAAGAATTCCCCGATCCCAAGGAAAAATAAAAAAGCTGGATTTGTATTTTTTCAAGGCTTTTCAGGGGTCTGGAAAAGGAGGGAGACAGAAATATGGGAATTTTTTCCTCTCTGCTTCAGCAAATCTGTCAGAGAAGGATTCACGTGAGAGTTGGGATCTTGTCTTTGCAAAATCAGGGAAAAAAAAACCCAGAAAAATTGAAAAAAATGAGGAATTTTATCCTTGAATCCGAGCTGAGGAAAGAAAACAACAGCCAAATTGCAAAAAAAAAACAAAATATAATGAATTAGTGAGTGAATTTCTGTTAGACACCACCATGAGCTGGATTTATTTAATATCAAATAATAGCACGGTGTGGACAGATTTA